AGCCAAGTGCTTGGCTAGGAGTGGAGATTAAGAGAATCACTGGCTGCAGCTGCTCTCTGTGGCTGCTGTCTTGTGGTATTGACCTGGTTAACAGCGGTATTAGAGAGAGAGCGGAGCTGCTGAGTAGGAAGAGTTCAATGGACTCAGTCAGGCAGCACTGCACTGTGGGTACTGTATTCCAGAGGAGAGAGACTCTGTTGTAATCTAGAGCTTTGTAACTGAGTTTCCCAGAGGGAGATTGCCAGGAGCCGTATTTTCACAGGTTGTACAGGACACAGATGGCTTTGGCCATGAGGGAGATCAGCAAGTGCACATCGCTGTCCAGTGGTCACCACCTCCGCTGCATAATGGCAGCCAGAACAGGATCTGCAGTTATGAGTTCAGGTGTGCTGACAGACAGAATCACCACAGAGAGGAGTAATCACTGTATGTGACCAGATGGTGAGCTGCAATATCACTGGACTTGTGAACTGCTGCTGTGGGGACTTACTATTTGCTGCTAGAGAGAATGAGCTCTTAGGAACTGACCATACAGCCCTCTAGTAGCCTTATTGCTGCCTGCAGATTTACTGGTACTATTCTCATTGGCACCAACAGTACAATCGGATCCCATCGCTAGCCGGTTGAAGAATTAGGACTGCAGACTGCCTCTTCCCAGCTGCTATATGGAGACCTTTACTTATTGCCTATGTTAAGAAGTTCCCCTCAGCAGACATTGCACTATATCCTAGCTATCCTCCTAGAGTGCACTCTAGACTAGTTATAGTATTACTATTGACACTGAAGTGAATGCTTAAATGCAAATGAGTAAATTCCAGTGCAGTGTTATAGGACGTGTTACGGTACATTGGTATAGTGATGATACTCTTTAGCAATCTATGTCTGAACTTGCCTTCTGTATGCCCATTTATGCTCAAACCACCATTTTCTCTAACCCATACCAATACATTGAGTTCATTTACCACTAAAGGTTCTTGTGCCTATTTCCTGGTGCTAATTCTCAGCGGAGTCAAAACATATTTATGCTCGTGTTCTTAGAAGTGCTTGCAGTAACTTTCACTCAACCAGGAGTGCCAGGGGGGCTGAGGTTGTTCTTGGAGTTGAGGCACAGAACTGAGAACCCAAATTACCAAGTGAATCCTTCAGGTGCAACGCTACTCCAAGCTGCATTAATTTGTGTATTTTACATCTGTGCAGATTTCAGGTTTAAAGGCTAAGTTCCCTTTTTTTTAAGAAAATAAAATCCAGCTCCCCTATGCACCAATATATCATTAACATAGCTCAGTTGCAAAAATATATAAGCTCTCTTTGATCTGTAGAGAAAGGCCTTACCTTAGCACTTGATATATTTCTTAGAAAGCTTTTTCAATTCCTTGAATGTAGAAAGAGGACAGAGGAGCCAGAAAAGCCAGGAAGCAGATTACCAGCTGATCTCATTATCACACACATCCTGCACTGACCTCATTCGTACAAACCCTTCACCCATCAACTATTTTTTCACAGCATCCTTGGGATCTTTTCCCACGTGCATTTGCCTGGCAAACCCAGCGTCCCTTCAGATGGGCTCAGGCGGCATGCAGCCCACAGGACACCCCTGATATAGTGCAAGGGCCTGCTTGATTGGATATAGAGTGATAGTATAGATGTTGTGTCCTCCTATTATATAGTTATGGTAAATCTAAAGGAGATTGTACAATCAGATAGTATAGTATAACCACATTCATACACGTGAACTTACCTAGTTGCATTTTGAGTGTCATTAATTGTTAACGGCACACATGGCAATATGCAGAGAAAATAGATGCTTTGCCATGCATTTCAGAAACATGTTACAAATGTGCATCATGTTTGTGTTGACATTACATGTTATAGGCACCCCAAGTGCAGCAAACACACCGAAAACATCAATAACGGACCGTGCTCTGCTCCAAAAAAAAGTTCTGGGGCAGTTCTTGTGTGTATAGCAGCCCGTTCAATGAATGGGCTGCCCTATGCGTGACAAGTGAAAACGTTCCAAAACACTCAAAACAAACATGTGGGAATGCGAGTCTTCACTACATGGAGACGTGAACGGGGCCTGACAACTGACCGTCTCCATCCACTCCCTCCTATGTACTTGTATAAAGATGGCCATACACTATGCAATCTGATTGTACAATCTCTGTACAATTTCCTTTAGATTTACCAGAACTAAGGAATAGGTGGTAACACCTAAACAATTCATTCAATTGGTATCAAATCAGACAGGCCCTTGTACTACATAGCTGATGGGAGGAAGGTAATATTGTAACGAGAGAGGTGTGGTCCAGAGTGGTGAACACACCCTTTCACCCCCTTTTCTGTGATGCAACAAGGAAGTGAAGGCTTCTGGGAAGTGACCTACAGAAAGTGAATGCTGAGAGACCATCTACAGGAAATGATGCAACCTTAAAATCTGTTCAAAATCTCACAGAAACCGATGAAAAAATTAAACATCCTGTGGATGAGGTACGTGAGAGAAAAGCACATTGGGATGGCTGGGCCAGAAATGGCATTGGAAAACGCTTCTATTTATTCTGAAAAGTGAAATTTTGACCGAAAGATTGAACTTATCCTTTAAGATTTATACGTCTAGGAGATTGTGTTATTTAGAAGCTTTTCACCATTTCGGTTAACAGGAACTTTATAAGGTAAATGAATTTTATATTGATATCCAGAAAAAGGGTTAAATGGCCCGGGTGATCCTGCGTGCATATTTTGAAGGGCATGCATGAATGTGTACACATGATCAGAGTCAGGCATATTGCTTGTTCAGCTTCTGCTGCTCCACAGGGACCTCAGGGGACTGCAGGGGCTATAAGGAAAGGCTGTGCCAGATAGATGCTTGCCTCTGCTTTCATTGAGAAGCTTTGCCTCAAAAGGCAGGTACATTGCAGCTCTGCTGTGAGCCTGGCACTGTATAGCTGGCACCCTCTTTAACCACTTGCCTATCGGGCACTTACACCAACTTCTTTACCAGGCCAATTTTCAGCTTTCAGCGCTGTCGCACTTTGACAATTGCACGGTCATGCAAGATTGTACCCATATGACATTTTTAGAATTTTTTTCTCACAAATAGAGTTTTCTTTTGGTGGTATTTAATTGCCGCTGGGTGTTTTACGTTTTGCGCTATAAACAAAAAAAGTGCAAAAAATTTGAAAAAAAATTTTTTTCTTTGTTTCTATTATAAAATTTTTCAAACAGGTAATTTTTCTCCTTCACTGATGTGTGTTGATGAGGCAGCATGGATGGGCACTGATAGGCAGCACGGATGGGCACTGATAGGCAGCACTGAAGGGCACTGATAGGCAGCACTAATGAGGTGGCAGGGATAGGCGACACTGATAGGCAGCACTGAGGTGTCACGGATAGGTGGCACTGATAGGCAGCACTGATAGGTGGCACTGATGATGGGTACTGATAGACAGCACTGATAGGTGGCACTGACTGGCATCACTGCTAGGCATTGACTGGTGCAACTGCTGGGCACTGACTGGCACAACCGCTGGGCACTGACTGGTGGCACTGACTGGCAGCACTGCATTGATGGGCACTGATGGGCCCATGTGGGTGGCACTGGTTGGTGGGCACAGGGGGGTGGGCACATGTGGGTGGCACTGCTGGACACAGGTATGTGGCACTTCTGGGCACAGGTAGGTGGCACTACCGGGCACGGGTGGGTGGCACTGCTGGGCACCGATCATCAGGGCACTGATAATCAGTGGCCTGATGATCGGTGCCGATCTCCGCTCTGCCAACTGCCGGTTCTCGGCAGCACTTTCCTCGCGCTCTGACAGCGTGAGGAAAGTGCAGCCGAGAACCGGCAATTGCATTTCCCGGAGATCAGCGTGTCATTGGACACGGCTGATCACGTGGTAAAAGGCCGCTGTGATTGGCCTTTTACCACATCATGTGATCATCTGTGTCCGTAGGACACAGCGATCACGGAGATCGCTGGTGTGCGCGCCCCCGGGGGCACGCAGGAGAGCGCGTTCTGGGAGGACGTCATATGACGCCCTCCCAGAACTGGCCGACCAGAGTGTAGCCGTCATTGGCAAGTAGTTAAAGGCAACATGTGGGTGAAAGCATTTACACTGCAGAGCATAGGCATTTAAAGAGAACCAGTCAACACTGCAAGGATCTGAACATTTTGTTTTAAATTAGAATTATGCAGGATTAAACTGCATCTAAAGCCTTTAGTTTTATTCTCTTAGAGTGCTGTTTCGATGCAAGCTGGCATGTACAATATCTGTAGCACTACCCGTTATGGGTTGCTGTTGATATTTTGTCCCCCCTATAGCCCTGCACAGCCAGTCAGTTAGCCTTTTTCACACAGACAGAAATCAGGCCTTGAGCATTGGTACTGTTGTTTTATTGAGGGGTTTAACCACTTCAAGTACAGACACTTTTACCCCCTTAGTGCCCAGGCCAATTTTCAGCTTACAGTGCTATCACACTTGAATGACAATTGCGCGGTCATGCAACACTGTACCCATATGAATTTTTTTAGCATTTTTTTGAGACAGATACAACTTTATTTTGGTAGTATTTATTCACCACTGGGATTTTTTTTTTTTTTGCTATGTAAATGAAAATGTCCAAAAATTTTGAAAAAAAGTGTTTTTCTTATAACATTTTGCAAATAAATAATTTTTCTTCATAAATCTTGGCAAAAATGTATTCGGTTATCTTTTTAGCAAAAAAAAAAAAATAACCCAAATTAGTTTATAACCAAAAATTATAATTTTTCAATTTTTTTTTTTACATTTCTTTATATTATTATTTATCTTTGTTTTTTTTTACATATTGTCACCCTAGCAGTACAGTGTCATCATAGTGACACTGTACTACTTGTGGTGGGTGATGAAGATTTTTTTTTTTTTTTTTACACTGATTGCTTTTACACCCATAAAGGCTGTAAAAACAATAATTTCTCCTTCTCTCTGGCTGCATTCTTGCAGCCATTGAGAAATACTGTTCACAGCTTGTCACATGGTACAAGGCTGTTGTGAATAACCTTGTACCATGTGACCTCTGTGATCATTTACAGATTTCACTAGTAGTAAGCAATGATGTCAAAAGTGACATCTTGCTAACTACTCTTCATATGATCACTCATTGGCCAATCAGTGATCACATGATCACGACCTCACACAGAGGTCCCGTACAGAGGAGGACACAGCGGGCACCGGATCGTGGTGCTGCATGCTCACCTTTAAAATGCGAGCGCCATTTATGTACGGCAACCCGCTCCTGCACTGCTCCCGTCTGGCCATTTATGTACATGGGCCGGACGGGAAATGATTAAACATGGATAGGATTAAGGGATGTATAGGATGCAAGGGAACTGAAATCTGAGGGCAACTTTCTGAACTATTCACAGCTTCTTTTCTCTGGCACAGTCTCTATTGGAGTGCCAGTCAGTAGCTCCAGTTGTACCACCCCAGACTCTAGATGAATTCCTCTTCACCCATCAATCTGAAAGTATTCTTCCTGAGCAGGGGAGTGCTCCTTTCCCTATTCACCCAGGGGGTTTATGTGTACTCACTCAGATCATCTCCTGTACAGCTTGTGGAATGGCTGCTGCTACCAGGCTTGTCAGCTAGACCACTCCTTCCTTGCCACACAGGTGGTCCTCTCTCAGGGGACCAGTGAGTCCCAAGGTTTCCTCCTTTCCAGCTCCAGGCTCGCAGGCAGGCCCCATCCCAACAGGCCTCCTGGCAGCCTTCTTCCTCCAGCCTCACATCTTCCTGACTCACACTTCTTTCCACCACCACTCTCCAACTCCTGCCACTGAGCAGACTATAACACCTCTTAAGAGAGTCCAGCCTCTTGCCAAGCCTCCTGTTGGGGATTAGCTGAGGTCCCTCAAAGGTGTAGCCAACCACACCTCAGATCCACCCACTGCCTCCAAAGCCCCCTCCAAAAGCCCCAGAGCAAGACGACATTCCAGAGGGGCTGGCCTGCAGAGTATTTCAGTCCTGATGCGAATTTGACCCCTCTGGCTATTGCACTTGAGCTCTTATTCAGCTCCTGTCTAACCATTAGGGATCTAGATCCACCTAGTGTAACTAGTGTAAACAAATTTCATTTCCTGTGTTTTAGATATCATTCACACAGTAGTTTAGCTGCAGCTTGTTTGCCTCTGTTCAGCCATGGATACTGTTGTTTAGAGGACCATAATACTATATGACTGAATCTCATGTAGACCTGTCAATTTTAAAACACAGAACTGTTTGGCTGTGGCACACAATGTATTTCGATTGTAAACCATTGTCACCACCTCATCATGATGTTACCCTTCCCTTTCCATACCTTTCATCTCACCACAATCCCCTCCTCGTCAACTTTGCTTTATTATTTAGTATATGTACTATTCATTTTCTGACAAAGTGTTTATTTTTATGATGAATTTGCTTTTATTTATAAGGGTCTGGCAAAATATTTGGGGAAGGGGGGACCCACCCCTGGCTGACATCTGAATGGACCAGGTAGGGATATGTCAGTGGTTGCTAGGGAGCCAGCAATTGCTGGCTTTCCTTCAATCAGCCCTAGCAGGAAGCTCTCACATTTAGCAGTAGTAACAATAGCTGTGCAAAATGTTTTATCGCCTGCTGTAGCCAGAGGTTTGGCTTGGCTAAACATCTCATTTAGTTTGGCTATTTGCCGAACGCCAAACATGTAAAATTTAGACTAAACATGGTCTGAACCTGAGTCTCATCTCTTTTTAACACTTTTTGAAGGAGGCATGTTACAGACACTACTAGCTATAGAGAATGAGGGAGGAAACAGAGATAGGAGATTTTACAGCCTTTCTGAGCACTACAGTGCCTTGAAAAAGTATTCATACCCCTTGAAATTTTCCCCATTTTGTGATGTTACAACCAAAAACGTAAATGTATTTTATTGGGATTTTATGTGATAGACCAACACAAAGTGGCACATAACTGTGAAGTGGAAGGAAAATGATAAATTGTTTTCAAATTTGTTACAAATAAATATCTGAAAAGTGTGGTGTGCATTTGTATTCAGCCCCCTTTACTCTGATACCTCTAACTAAAATTTAGTAAAACCAATTGCTTCCTATGTGTAATTTAATCTCAGTATAAATACAGCTGTTCTGTGAATCCCTCAGAGGTTTTGTTAGAGAATATTAGTGAACAAACAGCATAAAAAAGGCCAAGGAACACACCAGACAAGTCAGGGATAAAGTTGTGGAGACGTTTAAAGCTGGGTTAGGTTATAAAAAATATCCCAAGCTTTGAACATCTCACTGAGCACTGTTCAATCCATCATCCGAAAATGTAAATAGTATGGTAAAACTGTAAACCTACCAAGACATGGCCATCCACCTAATCTGACAAGCCTGGCAAGGAGAGCATTAATCAGAGAAGCAGCCAAGAGGCCCATGTTAACTCTGGAGGAGCTGCAGAGATCCACAGCTCAGGTGAGAGAATCTGTCCACAGTACAACTATTAGACGTGCACGCCACAAATCTGGCCTTTATGGAAGAGTGGCAAGAAGAAAGCCATTGTTGAAAGCCATGAGAAGTCCTGTTTGCAGTCATGTGGGGGACTCAGAAAACATGTGGAAGAAAGTGCTCTGGTCAGATGAGACCAAAATTGACCTTTTTGGCCTAAACGCAAACCCTGAACACACCATCCCCACCGTGAAACATGGTGGTGGCAGGATCATGTTTTGGGATGCTTTCATTCAACAGGGACAGAGAATGTGGTCAGAGTTGATGGGAAGATGGGTGAAGCCAAATACAGGGCAATCTTAGTTGAAAACCTGTTAGAGTCTGCAAAAGACTTGAGACTGGGGTGGAGGTTCACCTTCCAGCAGGACAATGATCCTAAACATACAGCCAGAGCTACAATGGAATGGTTTAGATCAAAGCATATTCATGTGTTAGAATGGCCAAGTCAAAGTCCAGACCTAAATCCAATTGAGAATCTGTGGCAAGACGTGGAAATTTCTGTTCACAGAATCCCTCCATCTAATCTGACAGAGCTTGAGCTATTCTGCAAAGAAGAATGGGTAAAAATGTCACCCTCTAGATGTGCAAAGCTGGTAGAGACATCCCCAAAAAGACTTGCAGCTGTAATTGCAGTGAAAGGTGGTTCTACAAAGTATTGATTCAGGGGGCTGAATACAAATGCACACCACACTTTTCAGATATTTGTTTATAAAAAATATTGAAAACCATTTATCATTTTCCTTCCACTTCACAATTATGTGCCACTTTGTGTTAGTCTATCATATAAAATCCTAATAAAATACATTTACGTTTTTGGTTGTAACATGACAAAATATGCAACATTTCAAGGGGTACAAATACTTTTTCAAGGTACTGCATTTCCTCCATGATCCTCAGTTAAGGAGAGAAGGGTTATCTACTTTGTCATATTCAAATTAGTAATAATGATTAGTAATAAATTATAATAATTAGTAATACAATTTACTGCAGACAGGCAGCCTGTACAGGCACAGTGATGTATCTGTACGTCTCTGGCCCTTCCGGGTACAGGGCACGCGTGTGTGTCCCTGCTCACCAACTCCTGCTGTGATTAGACGCAGCAGGGTTTTGTCTGCAGGTCCCAGCCAATGATTTATGGCCAGGACTTGCTCATTGGCTGTGTCCAATCAACACAGGGCTCTGTACAGAGGGAACAACATTTGTGTTTCTACTCCCTGTAAAGCAGGGAGGAGGAACAAAGAGATTTTTAAGTAAAAAGCAGCACGCAATACACACATTAACACTTGTTAGGCACACACTTAACCCCTTGATTACCCTGAGCTGTTAACCCCTTCCCAATTAATATCATTAGAACCGTGACTATGTAAATTATCACTGATCACTGTATTAGTGTATGAGTGTCACTGTGATGTCAGTGTCACTTAGTCAGTCAGTTCCCACCCAGTGTCAGTTAGTGTCAGATTGCTTGGTGCACCATCACAGTTCCACTATAAGTCACTGATCACTACCATTAGTAATATAAAAAGAAAATAAAGAAAAATTCCAGTATATATTGTTGGTAGACGCTATGAGAGAGAAGGGAAAAAAAAACACAAAGCAGCACACTGTTTACATATGTCCTTTACTTAGCTGCCTGCAACAACTATACTAGTATTCTTTATGTTCCAATAATTTTTATTGAAGTTTTAATAACAAGACATTGTAGGTAAATACGGTTCATTTCGAGATATTGCAGTACAGGATAGTAAACAATATTTTCCCCACCAATTGGCTGGGGGTAATAATATAGTATGTGGTGATGGCATATACTAGTATTCTTTGATGGTGATTAAAAGCAATGTAAACTGGTCACCTGATGGCGATCACTAATGGTTGAAAACATTTGGTTACAAAGCCATAAATGAACCCAGCACAAGACAGGGTTAATAAATAGAGAATTCTTTGCAGTTTTGAGCAGTATAACAATTGTACTAAAATGATCGACTTATGTTGTAATTTTATTTTGATATACACTGTATATTTTTTTTCATATATTGTAGACTGCTCTGCGGTTGAAATACTTTTTCCCCTGAGGAAGCCCTTGTTGGGTGAAACATGTAGGGAAATTATATTTCTCCAAACCACAGTTATACAGCCAAGCTCTCTCCATTCTTTTAACAGTATTGTCTCAATTTATATTTTTATATAGTGACTAATAAAAGTTGTAAAAATATTTTTAATATATGTTCTCTGTTGTACTTGTGCACCTTTTTTAAAATCCCACATTTTTCAATTCTATATTTCAAACTACAGGGATGTGGTGCTATGTGCACATTTGGTAACCCACTCGTCATGTTTCTATATAGGGTTAATAAATAATTGAATACATATATAAAAATCAGTTCAAAACAGCAGTTTATAAAAACACCATATTACAAAACATCCATGCTGTGAAGTCCAGATGTGTATGACTACATGACGCAAGGTGCAAAGATACACAAAGGAAAAATGTGTGTACCAGGCGGCCTGGCAAGGATATATTAAAACAAACAGAAATCTAGATAAATGTCAGTAGACCCTCCATAAATCCAGG